ACGGCCTCTTCTTGGGACGAAACGCGAAACCGAGGGTGACGGTGACAGCGAAACACACTGGGTGACGGTGAAACACCAACGGTGTACGTACGCCGTCAGCCCGGATAGCATACGGTCGGGGTTGTTCTAGCGAGAAGCTTCTCGCTAGAACAACCCCGATTGTATGCTTTACGGGCTGACGGTATAGGTACATCGTTCATTTGTTACCGTCACCGTCGACCAGTCGGTTTCACCATCACAGTCACCCGGGGGTTTCGAGTTTCGCGGTTCCCGCCCAAGACGAGACCGGCGGCCTTTTCGTCTAGCATTTGTTGTGACGCATTTCTTGTCTCGGACTGGCGATGGCACATCAGGCTAGCTCGTAGGTGGCGATTTGTCGAATTATTTCTGACCTCATTTGTCCCTGATAGCTCGTTTGGTTGCCATGAGGGAGGTGCGCTAGTCGGGAATTCTTTCTTCTGTGTGAGCCTTGCACTTCTTGCTCGCCTGCTAGCTTGCTGCACAGCAGAGAGGAAGAAGGAGACGAAGGTCGTGAAGCTGGGTTATCGTCGTCTTTCGCCTTGAGGGTCTGTTGTGCGTCTGGCCGGGAACTGGGAACAACGTGGTCCCGAGACGTGCAATGATTTCTACATTCAAGCTGCGTAATCGTGAGCTGCAACGAATATGTGGTCCCGAGACCTGCAATGATTTCTACATTCAAGCTGCGTAATCGTGAGCTGCAACGAATATGTAATCACGTCCTCCGCTTCTGTTCCAGTACACCCCGCTGATTTTCAATGAATCCGATTATTGGACACGGATGCGAATTGCAGTGACCGATTTGTATGGATCGAACGTCGTGAAGGCGGCTTAACCCCAAACCGACTCAGTCCACCTAATCTTGAGTACAGCATTTCGACGACATTTGAGATTCTTTGGTTTCGCAAGGCAAAAGCCGTTTCTGGGTCCAAAATAACTACTCGGTGCATATTTGCAGGAAAGTGAGGCCATAATATTGTAGACAGGAAGGACACGACACGAGTACCAGATTGAGTAATGTTTCAGAAGGGGAGGAAGGGAGGGGGAGATGTGTTTCAGAGGGGGAGAAGTTTCTTGGAGTTTCGTATGAATGGGCTCATGGCAGTCTGTGGAATTCGACTTTGGTCGTTCAGTCCCTATCAGGGTCGGTGTGTGGGGTAGACCATTCAGTCCTCGATGTCTAGCAGCAGCGAGATGTTGGTGGATGGGATGAGGAGGGAAGGGGAGTGGTTCGGAGCCGAGGCGAGCATTTGTTGAGATTACACTGATCGGATGAGATGAGCTGAATGAGTGGGCCTCGCGAACACAGCAGCAGCATCCCATCGTCAATAACTACGAATTTCAAAATCCTAACATGATCGTGACGCGTTCAAGAACACTATTTCAAGCGGATTTTTCGTGAACTAAAAAACTAAGTAAAGCTGTGAACACTTCTTAACATAACGAAGGGTAGCTTCCCCATTCACTTGGTCAGAGAAAATCATTCGAATCTGTACAGAGGAACGGAACAGATTGGGTTTTTCTTTCGAACTCAAAAAAAAAAAAAAATTCCTGTTAAACGCTGTTGTGGAACCAGACTTTGTGGCCATTTTCCAAAATTCCCAGCAAACAAAACATCAAAATCACTCCAAAAGCTGCATATGACAGTTTCACTCCACCTTTGTAAAGCCCCTGACCTATTGTGATGTTCATTTACTTACGTAACTCAAACCCGAATCAATGATTTTTGATAGCTCAACTGAACTCAGTGACATTCCGCTTGACAGACTTGAGCAGTTACTCCCATCATCGGCTTCCGCTGCCATGATTCTCTTTAGTTACTTCAGTTAATTAAGTCCAGGTACGGTCGCCTGCGATGTGTGAACACTTTCTTGCGTGGTGAGCCGCGGGTTGCCGAATCGATGGCTATTCTGCAACGCTTGTTGCCGAGAAAGCCCGCCCCCGAAGAGCATGTTTTCATGTGATTCGCAATAGCCCCGATCGGCCAGACGAGTGCAGAGCTTCCTGCGTGCTGCTGCCTTGGCTTGCGTTGCTCGCTCGGCCTTCGGGGCTTCGGATTCTCTTGCCTCAAGCCGGGCCAGGCTCGTGTCGCTTTCCATCGCGCCGACACGTGTCTCACATCGGTTTCCATGTGTCGAATTTGAATGCCAGAGGGTGCACGGTCGACGGGAGACTTCTTGACGCGACGGTGACAAAGGGGAGACCGTCACGACGGTGACCGTATGCCGTCGGCTCGCAGTCATACGTTCGGGGTTGTTCTAGCCTGCAGGGGAGTATTTTACTTTCCAAATGCTCAAAGTTCATTCTATGCAGTTGTGCTCTGACACTAAGTTTTGGGTTGACCGGTGAGTATTTGACCCTAGCACCTTGGCAAGGTAACGTAACTCTTTAGGGTTACCCGGTAAAAGTGTAAAAGGTAAGGGTAAAGGTAACACGTTTGGCTATATGGTAAGGTAAAGCCTCGCGGGTTACCGGGTAATTATCGGGTAACCCACGGAATCGTGGATATTCTTCTACACAGACTAAACCCTTCTTACGAGAAACCTCGTACCCGCGAAAAGCAAAAACTTAGTCGAGAGTTCGAGACTCTCTTGCCGCACCTGTTTGTGTCCATCACAATGAGCTACGTGAAACTCCGTGGCAATGAGCGATACAAGAACCAATCCACAGTAGAGAGAAAGTCTTGCCAAAGGACAGTAAGACTGCAGTTGAAAAGTTGTAATTTTTGTAAGCGGAAGTGCCAACTTTTGGTAAATACTGCTGCCATGTTTGCGGATTGATGAGGATTGCGAGAGATTGATGTTGTCCTTGAGGACAGCAAAGAAACTAGAATGGAGTCCCGTAGTCAGGTGCCCATGCCATGCTATCGAAAAGGTCTGCCATTTCCTCCACACCCAACCTGTCATATCCCGTATTAAGCTGCGACTACCAAACTAGTAAAGGTAGATTTACAAGTTAACTTTAATAGGTTAACGATAAGAGTAACTTTAAAAAAAATTAAATCATTCCGAGGTAACCGGGTAATTATCCTGAGTTAGAGGTAAAAGGTAGACCATAGTGCTACGCGTAGGGTAAAGGTAAAGGACTGTGCGTTACCCGGTTACTTTTTACATTACCTTGCAGAGTCTTACTTACTAAGCACCAGCACTCGGACATGTCAATCAGAACCATCTGACATATACTCTGTTCGCGGTTCTTGGGATAAAATGCAGAAACATTTCTCGATTCAGCAATGCGATGACCTTGAGGCTTCAGTGATTCATAACATTTATAGTTTCAGCGGCATTGGTTTCGAGGTGAACGTTAGGGCCAGCCAAAGTTCTGATTTTCCAGTGATTTTATGGCAGGCGGCTGGACAGGGATCTGTTTCGGGCAGGAAGGCTCCAACATCCCGACCAGGACCCAGGTCGTCCAGAAGTTCCGACAATTGGGCATCACCCGCGTCCGCCTCTACCACACTTACCAGAGCACGCTCCAGGCTTTCTCCAACAGCGGCATTCAACTCACCGTGGGCATAACGAACGCAGATATCGTTAAGGCCTTATCAAATGTGGGCTCTGCCACGAGCTGGGTTGACCCGAGACAAGCAGGATCCTGCTATGTGTTATTGTCCGTTCTTCTCTGTTCTGTATGAAAGTTTGACACAAGAACGCCTCCATACCCCTCCATTCGCGTGCTGCCATCGACCGAGTCACAGCGTGCCCGCCGGAGGGACTGCAGTGGCACCCGGACTACGTACGTCCTGAGGGCGTGGTCGGCCTTGAATTCCCATGCGGATGCCAGCAGGGAGGTCACCCTGCTCCAGTAACATCATCGCTGTTACGGTGGGAAACGAAGTCTTTACTTCGACGGCGAACAATTTGAAAAACGCTCTGCTGCCTTCGATGAAGAATCTGAGAGAGGCGCTGAATCAGGCACGTAACAGTGGGATCAAGGTCACAACAGCTCACGCTTTCGACGTCGTCACGAACACCTTCCCCCCATCTAGCGGCCAGTTCTAATTTTAATTTTATTAAAATTAGAAATGTATATCATGTTGTACATATCAGCCATTTAATATTACTTTGAACTATCTTATTGTATTTTTTGGTTCAAAAATATAGAGTGCAAAAGAACATCTTGTTTTTTAACTTTCTAAGCATTTCATTATTATCTAGATGTAGCTGAGAAGTCTCATACATATTTGTTTTATTTGAATGGTCATAGGTCATAATGAAGTAATTGACATAGGGTCACCATTCCTATGTCTTCTCAAATGAATGCATCTTGATATATTCATGAAGTGTAATTTCAAAATACAGACCGAGATTTGTTTTGATTTTCCTTCATCCTCTGCAAAAGACGGTCAATTGTTTGAACAAACGGAAGTACTACAGCAGGCTAAAAGCCATGATTCTTGCAGTTTGTGGACTAGTAAGAATATTATAGTACTGATGACTGAATGAATAAACATGGTTAAAATTAGAAATAATTTAGGGTAAAATAATAGAGGAAAACATTTGCCAGACGTAATCATATTTGTAGAGTTTAGTCAATGTGACTAGAGAGGTTGTTTTGAATTATATAGCTTCAATTGTAAGATCAATACCGTCATGCTCGCTCGATCAAAATAAACACTGAAACAACTCTCTATCTCTTTGCAGGTTGTTAGAATGAATATAGAGAAACCCAACTTGCATTCCAGATTTGGAACTATCATAGGACAGCTGTTATGATTATTATAAAAAGCTAAAATGATCTATCTGACATTAAATCATGAAGGACACATTGTGCATTTTATTGTAACCGCCCAAGGTTGGCACCGAGTGGACAGAAACAAAGTGAAAAGACACCTTTAAGGATGGAACGGAACGGAAAAATGGGCTCGCCTCCACTCCCATAGAACGGGCAGAAAGAGAACTAAAGTTCCTAGGACTATTTCATTATTTAGTTTCGTGGAAGAGCGAGAAGCAGAAACACAAATCACACCGTACAAGAACATGCGGGGATGGACACTACATTGTGCAAAGTGTACACGTAGTAGTTATACTTCTAGTTCACCTGCTTTGAGGAAAAAAGTTCGAATTATGAACAAGGCCGACGAGATCTTGCAAGGTCAGACGGATTCGACAGGTATTACATCCGAAAGAAGAGGCAGAAGAGGGCCATGTACAATGAATGGGTCGTCGATTGACAGAATAGTGCAGGCTAGTCATGGATATTTAGCAATTGTGTAAGGACAGCGTCCCGCAGTTCCGCAAACAATGAGTGGCTAATTCCATGAACGCTGAGTTTGGGAGGACGTCAAGGAATTCTGTAGTTCATCCAAAGTTGCAGGCTTATCATGTGCCCTGCTTTGAGAGGTTTTCGAAATGTTTGTGATTTGGCGATCTTCACCCAAGATGTATTTGGCGGAGTAGGCTCTGCTCTCACTATCGATGGCAAGCTCAGACAGGTTTTCAGATGCTAATAGAGTTTGAGTTCGGAAGCTAGGGTTTCTACCGTGTATCAAAATACAGTACATGCAATATTCTCTTTTCGTGGACGTGGATAATTGACAATAGTGATGAACGTTTTACTTTGAATCAAAGATTAGAGAAACCTTGTTTTCCCATTACTTTAGACTGAAGCAGTTGTACCAAAATCTGGAATTGAGCCTATTTTATGTTTTTAAAGATACTTTTCCTAAGAATGCTCACTTTTGACAGGTTGCCACCCATCCCAATCTCAGATCTTTAAAGTTTCAAGCTCCGTGGTGAGTTTTTACGTTGCATCTGGCATTAAATATTGGCTGTGGAATATCGCAAGTTGGTTCTTCAGTCCAAGGTCAAGTCAGATTGTCTATCACCTAATTTTTGACATGGTCCTCACAATGCATGCGCTTGAAAGCTTCGGAGCAAGTTAGGATTTAGACAAGTACCTTATTTTGTATGGAGCTTGGTTACATTCTTATCACGGGACATACAGGCTTGAAGCTGAAGAGTTTTGTATCCATAATCAGAGCGGCAGCAACCAATAATAGTTCTACAAAAGTCAATATTAGCAAACTTGAATCTGAAGGTGGGGAGAAAAAGAAATCACGATCTTTGACGTCTGTAGGTTTCAGAAACTGCATGCATCTCTTGGACACAGACGTGAGCTTGCTGTGTTCTCTTCATTCGGAGGTGAGGTAAGTTTACTGCGCGTCTTTGTTACAAGAAGTCAGAATGAGGAATTTTTTATCATGTTATTGTAACTTATTCTCGTCAAAGTTCCAGTCCAAGGAATTCAAAAATATTGAAGCAGATGATAGATGGCCCGTGAAGTTCCTTCTTTCATTTCCCTAAGAATATTGGAATTTACACCATTTTATGGAAGTGGACATGACACTTGTGTTTCTTTTACATCTTTCAGACTTATTTGTTTTCATTATATTCACAACACATTTTAAAAAGTGATGAAGTTCCATCTTCCGGATGAACGATAATTCTGATTCCAACAACCAAATTTGTCAAGAATCAGAATATCACTAGAAGGTACTCTTCGTAATGTTAACTGTGATTTAATCTAAATTGTCCTGTACATGTTTCTTTTGTGAGAGTGAAAGACTTTGATGACTTAGAAAAAGTCCGGAGACAAAAAAGCAGCGAAGTCTTCACTGAAAGACTGCACAGCAACTTGGAAAGCAGCGAATTCTCTACAGAGAGAATCGAATCTATGGCTATGGCTCAAAATATCTTCTCGACACGGCTAGGGCTTTCATAATGGCTTCCGACACGGGAGTAGTTTGCTTTCCAAATGCTCAAAGTTCATTCTATGCAATTGTGCTCTGACACTAAGAATTGGGTTGACCGGTGAGTATTTGACCCTCGCACCTTATTTAGCAACAGCACTCTGACATGCCAATTAGAACCATCTACTATATCCTCTGTTCGAGGTTCTTAGGATTAAATGCAGAAACATTTCTTGACTCAGCAATTCGATGACCTTTAGGCTTCAGTGATTCATGACATCTGAATTGGTTTCGAGGTGAACGTTGGGGCCAGCTAAAGTTCTGATTTTCCAGTGATTTTATGGCAGACGCTTGGACAGGGATCTGTTTCGGGGAAGAAAGCTCCAACATCTCCAACATCTCTCTCGAGCAGGACCCAGGTCGTCCAGAAGTTCCGACATCTGGGCCAGCTATAGTTCTGATTTTCCAGCAATTTTATGGCAGGCGGCTGGACAGGGATCTGTTTCGGGGAAGAAGCCTCCAACATCCCGAGCAGGACCCAGGTCGTCGAGAAGTTCCGACAATTGGGCATCACCCGCGTCCGCCTCTACCACACTTTCCAGAGCACGCTCCAGGCTTTCTCCAACAGCGGCATGCAAATCACCGTGGGCATAACGAACGCAGATATCGTCAGGACCTTATCAAGCGTGGGCTCTGCCAGAAGCTGGGTCGATCGCATCATCGTCCCTTATGGCTCCAGTAACATCGTCGCTGTTACGGTGGGAAACGATGTCTTTACTTCGACGACTTCGACGGACAATTTGAAAAACGCACTGCTGCCTTCGATGAAGAATCTGAGAGCGGCGCTGAATCAGGCAGGTAAGAGTGGGATCAAGGTCACAACAGCTCACTCTTTCGACGTCGTCACGAACATCTTCCCCCCATCTAGCGGCCAGTTCGCTGACACCGGAAGGATGCAGCCCTTGGTGAACTGGCTGGCCACGGTACGATCCGATTTCATCTGCAACATCTACCCTTACTTCGCGTACATAAACTCCAATGGGCAAATCACGTTGCAATATGGCCGTCTTGAATCTGGTTCTGTCATAGATTCAAACAATGGCAAGATATATACAAATCTTCTCGCACAGCAGCTGGACGCAGTTTATGCAGCTCTGGGGAGATTGGGGCAGGAAGAGATGCGCGTGGTCGTTGGGGAGATCGGCTGGCCCACTTCAGGAGGCACTGCCACAGATACAGACAACGCTCAGATCCACAACCAAAACCTGGTGAACTTAGCTAGAGGAGGAACGCCACTCAAGCCCAACTGGGGAATCCAGACTTACATTTTTGCAATGTTCGACGAGAATCAGAAGGCTGCTGGCTTAGAGAAGAGCTGGGGATTGTACAATCCGAGAAACTTCCAAGCGAAGTATACCATCAACTACGGAAACTCACCGACCCTTAGAAATCGTATCACCCAGGGAATGAGACTGAGTAGTGGACAGTTTGTCATGTCCAAAAATAAAGTCTACAAGTTTATCATGGAGGCTGACGGTAACTTGGTCCTGTATCAAACTGGTGTCGGACCTCTGTGGGCCAGCCATACCGTTGGCAGCGCCTCGGATGGTTACTTGGAGCTGCAATCCGATGGAAACGCTGTAGTGTACGGTGGCGGTGTTGCACGCTGGACTTCGGGTACTTTGGGGCGTAATGATGGAGCTCACCGCATCGACGTTGAGGAAGATGGCAACACTGTCATGTACAATGAAGCAAATGAAGCCATTTGGGCTACCAACACATCGAGCGGTCGCATCACCCAGGGAATGAGACTGAGTAGCGGCCAGTTTGTGGATTCCAAAAATCGAGCCTACAGGTTAATCATGGAGGCTGACTGCAAGTTGGTCCTGTATCACATCCGTGTCGGACCTCTGTGGGCCAGCAATACCCATGGAATGGCCTCGGATGGTTATATGGAGCTGCGATCCGATGGAAACGCTGTAGTGTATGGTGGCGGTGTTGCACACTGGTCTTCGAATACTTTGGGGCGTAATGATGGAGCTCACCGCATCGACGTTCAGGACGATGGCAACGCTGTCATGTACAACGAAGCAAATGAACCCATTTGGGCGACCAACACATCGAGCAATCGCATCACCCAGGGAATGAGACTGAGTAGTGGACAGTTTGTCAAGTCCAAGAATGAAGTCTACAAGTTTATCATGCAGGCTGACTGCAACTTGGTCCTGTATCACATTGGTGTCAGACGTATGTGGGCCAGCCATACCAATGGCAGCGCCTCGGATGGTTACTTGGAGCTGCAATCCGATGGAAACGCTGTAGTTAAGATTGGCGGTGTTTCACGCTGGACTTCGGGAACTGGCGGGCGTAATGATGGTACTCACCGCCTCGACGTTCAGGACGATGGCAACCTTGTCATGTACAACGAAGCAAATCAAGCCATTTGGGCTACCAACACAGCAGGCAATCGCATCATTCAGGGAATGAGACTGAGTAGCGGACAGTTTGTCATGTCCAAAAATCAAGTCTACAAATTAATCATGCACGCTGACTGCAAATTGGTCCTGTATCACATTGGTGTCAGACCTCTGTGGACCAGCCATACCGAGGGCGACTCGGATGGTCACTTGCATATGCAATCCGATGGAAACGCTGTAGTTAAGATTGGCGGTGTTTCACGCTGGACTTCGGGAACTGGCGGGCGTAATGATGGTACTCACCGCCTCGACGTTCAGGACGATGGCAACCTTGTCATGTACAATGAGGCAAATCAAGCCATTTGGGCTACCAACACAGCAGGCAGTCGCATCACCCAGGGATCGAGACTGAGTAGCGGACAGTTTGTCATGTCCAAGAATAGAGTCTACAAGTTTATCATGCAGGCTGACTGCAACTTGGTCCTGGATCACATTGGTGTCGGACCTGTGTGGACCAGCAATACCTATGGCCTCGCCCCGGATGGTTATATGGAGCTGCAATCCGATGGAAACGCTGTATTGTACGGTGGCCTTGTTGCACGCTGGGCTTCCCATACTTTTGGGCGTAATGATGGAGCTCACTGGATTGACGTTCAGGACGATGGCAACACTGTCATGTACAACGAAGCAAATGAAGCCATTTGGGCTACTAACACAGCAGGGAGATGAGAGATTTATGTATTTGTTGAAAAAGAGAACATGTGCGATCTATGTCCGTCATTGAAGAACTCCAGTGACCCCGATAAGCGAACATCCTTAGTCCATGGAGCTAACTAACTGCATCGGAAAGATTGAGCTTAGGATGCAACTTTTCAAGTCATATAAAATCTCGAGATCACATCGACCATCTACAAAATGAAGTTGCTTTCAAACACTCTGGCTTTGATGAGAAGAAAGTTTTTCAAATGCTTGTAAAAAAGGCCTCTGATAAGACTTCTTTTAAAAGAGTGAACCTGTCTCGATCCTCCTCTGGAACCATACTTCTGCACCTAATGCATGTCGTTGGCTTACAGAAAGTTTTCTCTCACATCCAACGGACTCATCCACAACTCACGCTTAACTCACTTCACTCATCCTCGATTGTGCATCATCAAGGAAAGCAAGTTGCAGGTAGATGAAGTGGTTGTCAATCAGGGGCCCGTCTCGGGATGTCTTGCCCTGTATCTTCATGAGGCTAACACAAGTATCCATCAGTCTTCGTATTTACGGGTATGGGATGTGTATCTCATAAATATCAGATATTATGAACACAAAAGTCTAAATTCCAAGAAAAACAACTTTTGATTATAAGATTAGATTTGATGTATACAAATTTCTAATGTAGACTTGACTTTCCTACAATGGAATAAAATCCATCGGTTGTAAGTTACTAGATCTTAAAATGTTATAACATGAGTGAACTGTTTATTATCTATAAGAGCACACTTCTCATAGAACGGGCTACATGATAGGGTAATAAAACTGCAGGCTAGAACAACCCCGACCGTATGACTGTGGACTGACGGCATACGGTCACCGTCGTGACGGTCTCCCCTTTCTCACCGTCGCGTCAAGAAGTCACCCGTCGAGCTCGCACGCTCCACTATTCAAATTCGAGACATGGTCAGTAGATGCGAGACACGTGTCAGAGACCGCCACATTACCCCCATTCACACTACCCTCCAGCCAATCCGCGGGATCACCATCAATCGCACAGGCGCAGCATTCGATCGATTATCCGGTAACGAGCCCCTGTAACGAGCTCGGGCCAAGGCACACCCGAAAGCGAGAAGAATCTATGGTAGAGTACAATTGCCCTCGCCTTGCCTGGCGCTCACCCCACCTCCCCTCAAATTTGTAATAATTTCTGAATCCGAAATTTTTTTCCATCCGCAGATAGAGATCGAGTACGACTGTTTTCAAATTCAAAGTTAAACGAGGCAGCAACCAGCAACCATTAAAACGATGCTGCTGCACCTGTCGTTGCATCCTTCTGCTGGTATACTCGGAAAACTTAAACTAGCTTATTACTTCACGGGGAACTTTGAAGCACATTCAAGCAGATTATGGATCTCGAGACTGTGCAGCCATTTTCAAGATTGAACGAAAATTTCCCATGAATTTACTTTGCTTCATCTCTGAAGAGGTAAGATTATAGCAGTAGCAGATGATGTGTTACATTATCCTTTGTCATAGTTGGTTTTCGACGTGCCACAGCACTTCTTCTACCTTTCATTTGATGACTTCTTCCGTCATGTACACGGCGGTGATCTCCTCCGAAGCTCTTTCGAAGGAAATATCTCATCGGCCAATTTAGCTTTACACTTGTGAGGGTCTGATAAGCAGACTTTCAACCTCGACAGAAGATCACACCCAACAGCTCAAACGCCGTCAAACTGAAATGCAGAAATGTGGCTATAGTGGATCCAACACTCCATATGGGACTCAGATGTGACGCTCAGAACAAGCAATACAGTCATCGAATAGAAACTACGATTCGGTCACAACACAGTACCATCATGCTGACAACCGAATTTAGCGGCTAGAGGATATGCGGCCCAGTACAGGTGACAGGCGACGAGGATCTTGTTATGTTGACAGTGTGGACAGGTGAGTATAATTTGCTCATAATCTCAAGCGGTGTCGATTCACCAACTGAGTTATAGTTACACTTATTCATGGACTCTTTCTCCTCCAGTTACTACGCGAAAGTGCTGCTTTAAATCTATGCCAGTGGAGGACATGGTGCTGGATCATAAAGAAGGGCTGCAATTGCAAGGGAGATGGTCGATTCCCGGTCGAAGGTGGGGTTCGGCTCTGTTTCTCAGAGCTGAGGATCGTAGTTTCAGGCATCGAAAAATTGGCAGTAGAGACTTGAGAAGAAGCAAACCGCGTTGTACTTGAAGTCAGCGCACTGCAATGCGGTACATATATGGCCATGGCGGTTGGCGCATCAGCCTGATGCGCGCACCGCAGTATTACTAACACCGTTGTGAGCGAGGAAGGTTGTCAAGAATGGCCTAGACCCACCTTCATGTCCAGAAAAGATATGTTTCAAAGTATGATCTTCTTCATGTTCTGACACAAATTTACGTACCGGGGTTTGGGAGCACTAGCAGTGATCAGATCTCTGCGATGAAGAATAAAGATCAAGGATGTGGAGGATGTCCCCTCGCCTACAGTTTCTTGGTTAATTGGAGGTTTGAGAAAGCCTGGCAGGAGTAAGGAAACTAAGCAAAATTCGAACCCCGCCAATTCGCTAAGCCGCTTCTCTTAAAGCCGCGATGACAGGAAATTTACTGGCCCCTACAAACGCAAATTCCCTGACAATCGCAACGCATAACCTTAATGCAAGAAATCACTCGCCAAATCGACAACCCCGAGCTCTCGCGTGATCGCCATCGCCAATCCGAGAGTGCCTCACAAGAAATGCTAGACGACAGGTCCGGCCGGACTCGTCTTGGGCGCCAAACGCGAAACCCCTGATGACGGTGACGGGAAACCTACTGGACGGTGACGGTGACACTCGAACAGTGTACGCATGCCGTCAGCCCGGTCGGGGTGGTTCTTGCGAGGAGCGTAATAAACACCAAGTAGAGCCTAATCTGTGTTAAACTCCAAAACAAGTTCCTTACAAACCATTTAAGTTAGCCTTAGATGGTTTTACTCACTATCCTTAGTTTTTACTTGGACTTATACTTGTAGTGTAGGTGGCACGGCAGACAAAGTACTTCTGGATGCTCCATGCAGTGGATTGGATGTTATAGCGAAAAGCTCATAAGGGTCTCAAGTGGTATTGATCCAACTCACTCGATGACTTTTTAGGTTTGAAGTCGAGGTTTCCTCCTGCAACACATTTTGAAAGCAAAGAGTACTTGATGCTCCCAATGGAAGTATACTTTAGAACCATCAAGACGACATAGGACTAATTCACTCTAGCAGCACCTATCCAGTATCTAGAAAGATGATCAAATTTCTGACTTAATACACTAAGTTCTTTGGCTTCTGACATGATTTGCTTCCCAAGTCCAAAAAAACACCTCCGATTTCGCAAAATTAATTTCATCAATGATCTCTGTTTAATGAGAATCACTCACGTTATCTTGAGTTGCAGAACCTGACATCATAGAAATTCGATTATATTATATAATATTCATTACTTCCACATTCAAAGTGATGTATTCTGTGCTTGGAGAATTAAAACCATCGTCTTGGATTTCGATTCTTTTTTATAAACAAGAAGTTGATTTCAAAATTTCAAAATTTATTGTAGAAATGTTTATGAATGGTTGTTTTAAGATTTATATGTTGCTCTAAGAAAAAAAAACATATTGTGTTTGTTTTAGTTCCTTCTTTCATTCTCCAATAATATTGGAATTTACACCGATTTATGGAAGTGGACATGACATTTGTGTTTCTTTTTCATCTTTCATACTTATTTGTTTTCGCTTTATTCACAACATCATTTTAAAAAGTGATGAAATTCCATCTTCCTGGATGAACGATAATTCTGATGCCAACAACCAAAGCTGTCAAGAATCAGAATATCACTTGAAGGTACTCTTCGTAATGTTAACTGTGATTTAATGTAAATTGTCCTGTACATGTTTCTTTTGTGAGAGTGAAAGACTTTGATGATTTAGAAAAAGTCCGGAGACAAAAAAGCAGCGAAGTCTTCACTGAAAGACTGCACAGCAACTTGGAAAGCAGCGAATTCTCTACAGAAAGAATCGAATCTATGGTTATGGCTCATAATATCTTCTCGACAAGGCTAGGGCTTTCATAACGGCTTCCGACACGTAAGTAGTTTGCTTTCCAAATGCTCAAAGTTCATTCTATGCAGTTGTGCTCTGACACTAAGAATTGGGTTGACCGGTGAGTATTTGACCCTCGCACCTTACTAAGCAACAGCACTCGGACATGTCAATCAGAACCATCTGACATATACTCTGTTCGCGGTTCTTGGGATAAAATCCAGAAACATTTCTCGATTCAGCAATGCGATGACCTTGAGGCTTCAGTGATTCATAACATTTATAGTTTCAGCTGAATTGGTTTCGAGGTGAACGTTAGGGCCAGCCAAAGTTCTGATTTTCCAGTGATTTTATGGCAGGCGGCTGGACAGGGATCTGTTTCGGGCAGGAAGGCTCCAACATCCCGACCAGGACCCAGGTCGTCCAGAAGTTCCGACAATTGGGCATCACCCGCGTCCGCCTCTACCACACTTACCAGAGCACGCTCCAGGCTTTCTCCAACAGCGGCATTCAACTCACCGTGGGCATAACGAACGCAGATATCGTTAAGGCCTTATCAAATGTGGGCTCTGCCACGAGCTGGGTTGACCCGAGACAAGCAGGATCCTGCTATGTGTTATTGTCCGTTCTTCTCTGTTCTGTATGAAAGTTTGACACAAGAACGCCTCCATACCCCTCCATTCGCGTGCTGCCATCGACCGAGTCACAGCGTGCCCGCCGGAGGGACTGCAGTGGCACCCGGACTACGTACGTCCCGAGGGCGTGGTCGGCCTTGAATTCCCATGCGGATGCCAGCAGGGGGGTCACCCTGCTCCAGTAACATCGTCGCTGTTACGGTGGGAAACGAAGTCTTTACTTCGACGGCGAACAATTTGAAAAACGCTCTGCTGCCTTCGATGAAGAATCTGAGAGAGGCGCTGAATCAGGCACGTAACAGTGGGATCAAGGTCACAACAGCTCACGCTTTCGACGTCGTCACGAACACCTTCCCCCCATCTAGCGGCCAGTTCTAATTTTAATAAAATTAAAATTAGAAATGTATATCATGTTGTACATATCAGCCATTTAATATTACTTTGAACTATCTTATTGTATTTTTTGGTTCAAAAATATAGAGTGCAAAAGAACATCTTGTTTTTTAACTTTCTAAGCATTTCATTATTATCTAGATGTAGCTGAGAAGTCTCATACATATTTGTTTTATTTGAATGGTCATAGGTCATAATGAAGTAATTGACATAGGGTCACCATTCCTATGTCTTCTCAAATGAATGCATCTTGACATATTCATGAAGTGTAATTTCAAAATACAAACCGAGATTTGTTTTGATTTTCCTTCATCCTCTGCAAAAGACGGTCAATTGTTTGAACAAACGGAAGTACTACAGCAGGCTAAAAGCCATGATTCTTGCAGTTTGTGGACTAGTAAGAATATTATAGTACTGATGACTGAATGAATAAACATGGTTAAAATTAGAAATAATTTAGGGTAAAATAATAGAGGAAAACATTTGCCAGACGTAATCATATTTGTAGAGTTTAGTCAATGTGACTAGAGAGGTTGTTTTGAATTATATAGCTTCAATTGTAAGATCAATACCGTCATGCTCGCTCGATCAAAATAAACACTGAAACAACTCTCTATCTCTTTGCAGGTTGTTAAAATAAATATAGAGAAACCCAACTTGCATTCCAGATTTGGAACTATCATAGAACAGCTGTTATGATTATTATAAAAAAATAAAATGATCTATCTGACATTAAATCATGAAGAACACATTGTGCATTTTATTGTAACCGCCCAAGGTTGGCACCGAGTGGACAGAAACAAAGTGAAAAGACACCTTTAAGGATGGAACGGAACGGAAAAATGGGCTCGCCTCCACTCCCATAGAACGGGCAGAAAGAGAACTAAAGTTACTAGGGCTATTTCATTATTTAGTTTCGTAGAAGAGCGAGAAGCAGAAACACAAATCACACCGTACAAGAACATGCGGGGATGGACACTACATTGTGCAAAGTGTACACGTAGTTATACTTCTAGTTCACCTGCCATGAGGAAAAAAGTTCGAATTATGAACAAGGCCGACGAGATCTTGCAAGGTCAGACGGATTCGACAGGTATTACATCCGAAAGAAGAGGCAGAAGAGGGCCATGTACAATGAATGGGTCGTCGATTGACAGAATAGTGCAGGCTAGTCATGGATATTTAGCAATTGTGTAAGGACAGCGTCCCGCAGTTCCGCAAACAATAAGTGGCTAATTCCATGAACGCTGAGTTTGGGAGGACGTCAAGGAATTCTGTAGTTCATCCAAAGTTGCAGGCTTATCATGTGCCCTGCTTTGAGAGGTTTTCGAAATGTTTGTGATTTGGCGATCTTCACCCAAGATGTATTTGGCGGAGTAGGCGCTGCTCTCACTATCGATGGCAAGCTCAGACAGGTTTTCAGATGCTAATAGAGTTTGAGTTCGGAAGCTAGGGTTTCTACCGTGTATCAAAATACAGTACATGCAATATTCTCTTTTCGTGGATGTGGATAATTGACAATATTGATGAACGTTTTACTTTGAATCAAAGATTAGAGAAACCTTGTTTTCCCATTACTTTAGACTGAAGCAGTTGTACCAAAATCTGGAATTGAGCCTATTTTATGTTTTTAAAGATACTTTTCTTAAGAATGCTCACTTTTGACAGGTTGCCACCCATCCCAATCTCAGATCTTTGAGTTTCAAGCTCCGTGGTGAGTTTTTACGTTGCATCTGGCATTAAATATTGGCTGTGGAATATCGCAAGTTGGTTCTTTAGTCCAAGGTCAAGTCAGATTGTCTATCACCTAATTTTTGACATGGTCCTCACAATGCATGCGCTTGAAAGCTTCGGAGCAAGTTAGGATTTAGACAAGTACCTTATTTTGTATGGAGCTTGGTTACATTCTTATCACGGGACATACAGGCTTGAAGCTGAAGAGTTTTGTATCCATAATCAGAGCGGCAGCAACCAATAATAGTTCTACAAAAGACAATATTAGCAAACTTGAATCTGAAGGTGGGGAGAAAAAGAAATCGCGATCTTTGACGTCTGTAGGTTTCAGAAACTGCATGCATCTCTTGGACACAGACGTGAGCTTGCTGTGTTCTCTTCATTCGGAGGTGAGGTAAGTTTACTGCGCGTCTTTGTTACAAGAAGTCAGAATGAGGAATTTTTTATCATGTTATTGTAACTTATTCTCGTCAAAGTTCCAGTCCAAGGAATTCAAAAATATTGAAGCAGATGATAGATGGCCCGTGAAGTTCCTTCTTTCATTTCCCTAAGAATATTGGAATTTACACCATTTTATGGAAGTGGACATGACACTTGTGTTTCTTTTACATCTTTCAGACTTATTTGTTTTCATTATATTCACAACACATTTTAAAAAGTGATGAAGTTCCATCTTCCGGATGAACGATAATTCTGATTCCAACAACCAAAGTTGTCAAGAATCAGAATATCACTAGAAGGTACTCTTCGTAATGTTAACTGTGATTTAATCTAAATTGTCCTGTACATGTTTCTTTTGTGAGAGTGAAAGACTTTGATGACTTAGAAAAAGTCCGGAGACAAAAAAGCAGCGAAGTCTTCACTGAAAGACTGCACAGCAACTTGGAAAGCAGCGAATTCTCTACAGAGAGAATCGAATCTATGGCTATGGCTCAAAATATCTTCTCGACACGGCTAGGGCTTTCATAATGGCTTCCGACACGGGAGTAGTTTGCTTTCCAAATGCTCAAAGTTCATTCTATGCAATTGTGCTCTGACACTAAGAATTGGGTTGACCGGTGAGTATTTGACCCTCGCACCTTATTTAGCAACAGCACTCTGACATGCCAATTAGAACCATCTACTATATCCTCTGTTCGAGGTTCTTAAGATTAAATGCAGAAACATTTCTTGATTCAGCAATTCGATGACCTTTAGGCTTCAGTGATTCATGACATTTATAGTTTCAGCTGAATTGGTTTCGAGGTGAACGTTGGGGCCAGCTATAGTTCTGATTTTCCAGTGATTTTATGGCAGACGCTTGGACAGGGATCTGTTTCGGGGAAGAAAGCTCCAACATCTCCAACATCTCTCTCGAGCAGGACCCAGGTCGTCCAGAAGTTCCGACATCTGGGCCAGCTATAGTTCTGATTTTCCAGCAATTTTATGGCAGGCGGCTGGACAGGGATCTGTTTCGGGGAAGAAGCCTCCAACATCCCGAGCAGGACCCAGGTCGTCGAGGAGTTCCGAAAATTGGGCATCACCCGCGTCCGCCTCTACCACACTTTCCAGAGCACGCTCCAGGCTTTCTCCAACAGCGGCATTCAACTCACCGTGGGCATAACGAACGCAGATATCGTCAAGACCTTATCAAGTGTGGGCTCTGCCAGAAGCTGGGTCGATCGCATCATCGTCCCTTATGGCTCCAGTAACATCGTCGCTGTTACGGTGGGAAACGAAGTCTTTACTTTGACGGCGGACAATTTGAAAAACGCACTGCTGCGTTCGATGAAGAATCTGAGAGTTGCGCTGAATCAGGCCGGTAAGAGTGGGATCAAGGTCACAACAGCTCACTCTTTCGACGTCGTCACGAACATCTTCCCCCCATCTAGCGGCCAGTTCGCTGACACCGGAAGGATGCAGCCCTTGGTGAACTGGCTGGCCAGGGTAGGATCCGATTTCATCTGCAACATCTACCCTTACTTCAAGTACATGGACTCCAATGGGCAAATCACGTTGCAATATGGCCGTCTTGAATCTGGTTCTGTCATAGATTCAAACAATGGCAAGATATATACAAATCTTCTCGCACAGCAGCTGGACGCAGTTTATGCAGCTCTGGGGAGATTGGGGCAGGAAGAGATGCGCGTGGTCGTTGGGGAGATCGGCTGGCCCACTTCAGGAGGCACTGCCACAGATACGAACAACGCTCGGATCCACAACCAAAATCTGGTGAACTTATCTAGAGGAGGAACGCCACTCAAGCCCAACTGGGGAATCCAGACTTATATTTTTGCAATGTTCGACGAGAATCAGAAGGCTGCTGGCTTACAGAAGAGCTGGGGATTGTACAATCCAAGAATCTTCCAAGCGAAGTATACCATCAACTACGGAAACTCACCGACCCTTAGAAATCGTATCACCCAGGGAATGAGACTGAGTAGTGGACAGTTTGTCATGTCCAAAAATAAAGTCTACAAGTTTATCATGGAGGCTGACGGTAACTTGGTCCTGTATCAAACTGGTGTCGGACCTCTGTGGGCCAGCCATACCGTTGGCAGCGCCTCGGATGGTTACTTGGAGCTGCAATCCGATGGAAACGCTGTAGTGTACGGTGGCGGTGTTGTACACTGGTCTTCGGATACTTTGGGGCGTAATGATGGAGCTCACCGCATCGAACTTCAGGACGATGGCAACACTGTCATGTACAACGAAGCAAATGAAGCCATTTGGGCTACCAACACATCGAGCAATCGCATCACCCAGGGAATGAGACTGAGTAGCGGACAGTTTGTGGATTCCATAAATCGAGCCTACAGGTTAATCATGCAGGCTGACTGCAACTTGGTCCTGGATCACATTGGTGTCGGACGTCTGTGGGCCAGCAATACCCATGGAATGGCCTCGGATGGTTATATGGAGCTGCGATCCGATGGAAACGCGGTAGTGTATGGTGGCGGTGTTGTACACTGGTCTTCGGATACTTTGGGGCGTAATGATGGAGCTCACCGCATCGACGTTCAGGACGATGGCAACACTGTCATGTACAACGAAGCAAATCAAGTCATTTGGGCGACTAACACAGCAGGGAGATGAGAGATTTATGGATTTGTCGAAGAAGAGAACATGTGCGATCTATGTCGGTCACTGAAGAACTCCAGTGACCCACATAAGCGAACATGCTTAGTCCATGGAGCTAACTAACTGCATCAGATAAGATTGAGCTTAGATATGCAACTGTTCAAGTCATATAAAATCTCTAGATCACTATCGACCATCTACAAATTGAAGCTGCTTTCAAACACTCTGGCTTTGATCTGACGGAGTCAGGGGCCGTCTCGGGATTTCTTGCTCTGTATCTTCATCAGGTTACCATTAGTATCCGTCTGTCTTCGCATATACGGGTCTAGGACGTGTACCTCGTAAAGATCAGATCCTGCAAACTTTTTGTTCTCTTCAATTCGGTGAATCGGAAAGGGTAACAATCTCCTTAACGCGTATCTCAATATATCAATCAAGTGCATTGTAGAGCATGCCAGGCACAATCTGGTCAAAGACGGCAATTTGAGGAAAAAAGGAGAGCATTTTAGGGTCAAAGGGAAGGTGAATCACATGAAAACAACAAAGTAATATATGAAAGTTGTAATATATGAAGCAGTCACTTAACGTGTTACCTCAAAGTCGCTCCGACCTCACCACTAGCTCCTGATAGGACGGCCACAGGTTGGCTGTATCCTGACGCACCTATCCTCACGCCGAAGGGCAGAATGAGAAAAGGAAGTGGATTAGCAAGCAATGTAATAACATTTATCTTCATACTTCAATGCTGCAAACTTCAGAGGTGTTGGGGAAGGGCAAAGTTGAGAGACGATGTTTCCACTAGTTTGCAGCAACTATAGTAACTGAAAGTCCTTCACTTAAACAGCTTTCTTCCTTTCGTTCTCGTCTTAGTTGCCACAATTTTGGATTACATTTTTCTTCTATACTACTGTACCGCCTGTAAGAAACTGTTGGACTGAAATATGCCAATATCTGAACTACGTAATCGAGCACACTAACGTGTTACAGATTATTTGTGGAAGTTTGGTAAAAGTGAAGAATGCACACTAGTAAGAAGTTCTTGATGATCGAGGTAAGGGTATGGACATATTTCTTGATTCAGTTTTTAACATTGACATAAATTCATATATCATATATAACTTCTTAGTTTATTCAGATACCGTCAAAAATACATTTGGTCACAACTTACCATCCCTCATGCACTTTATTACCACATATTATTCAAGGCTCATATTAAAATATAGTTTGGTGATTCCAAATTGTAAACATTGATCCATGAGTAAGTTTATGGTTCAAATTACCTACTTGACACTTATCATAGTGAAAATGAACATAGATGCCTAGATACTATTCACACAAGAGTATTATTTTGAAAGTATCTAAGTTGACGACTGTTATGGACGAGCTCAGATAGGAAAGCCCAACTGCAACCAAGCTAGGCAAGAGATGAACACCACACACAAGAAGGCTAGGCCGTCACATAAGTCGTGCGCGCCGTCCGTAAGATGTGCATGATCCCTAACGCGATCGCCCTTCTCTTCGGATCTTTATAATCGACAGTCTTCCATCCATTCGTTCCCTGTCTTCCAGTCTCGAAGAGAGGCCCGTAAGAGAATTCCTCGCCGCTCATAAGTCCTACCCTATTCTTATCAAACAGAAGGTCTTTGTCGCTACCCGCACACGGTCCCATTACTTTCATCCAATGCTCGATGGTCCACAACATGGGATTACCGCGGAGCTCCTCGCCTTCGGTCGCGCTCTTGTCCATAACTTCCTTGCAGATACTCGTTGAGACGCAATTCCAATTCCACAAAAGGAACTCAAGCCGCAGTTCCCTCAACTTGTGTCTGAAGGGTCTCAATTCCTCGTAAGGCACCTTGAAATTGATTCCGATGTCTTCGCCGAAGACGCAGCTCTTCGTACATCCTTGAAAGACTGCGCCGAAGACACGAAGATCCGAAGATCTTCGGACGTAGATGAATTCTAACTAATCCTATCATAACTCCTATAAATCTACTCTTTCCAACTCATATAACTATCTTCTACACAAATATGTTTATGTTTTTGTTAATTTTTAAAGAAAAACGAAAAAGTAGGCCCCACAGGAATTTTAGTCAGTTCTCTAACCTATATTATTACTCTCATACCAAGATAAAATAATAATGTATAGAGTTAACTCAACAATCTCACCTTAACGCTTGTCAAGGAATTTCAGTCACCTCTCTAACCTATATTATTACTCTCATACCAAGATAGAATAATAATGTATAAAGGTAACTCAAGAATTTCTCCTTAACGCTTCTCAAGAAATTTTAGTCATCTCTCTAACCTATATTATTACTCTCATACCAAGATAGAGTAATAATATATAGAGTTAACATAACAATCTCACCTTAACGCTTGTCAAGGAATTTCAGTCAACTCTCTCACCTATAGTATTACTCTCTTACCAAGATAGAGTAATATATAGAGGTAACTCAACAATTTCACCTTACCGCTTGTCAAGAAATTTCAATGACCTTTCTAACCTATATTATTACTCCCATACCAAGATAGAGTAATAATATATAGAGGTAACTCAACAATCTCACCTTAACTCATGTTAAGGAATCTCAGTCACCTCTCTAACCTATGTTATTTCTCCGCGAGAAGTTCTAGACGGAAACCTACCACAAGTTCCCTCTTTGAACGAGAGTTAACTAAAACTAAGCCGTAGTCATAAGAGGATGGAATAATAATATACAAAGGTAACTAAAAACCATATCTCTTATGCACAACTTGCATAGTACCACAGTGTTGCCTGAAACTCTCCAAAGGAATAACTTTGTTCAATGCATCAGCTGGATTGAGTAACTGTCAGTCTTGACTAACTCAATTGTTTTATCAGACGCTGCTTGTCTAATAAAGTGATACTTGATGTCGATGTGCTTCACTTTGCTATCCATGACTTGGTTCGCAGCCAAGTGTAAAGCATTTTGGCTATCACAATGAAGATTAACCACGCCTTGTGTTAATCCCATCTCCATGATAAGCATATTCAACCAAATAGCTTACTTTGTTGCTTCCACTACTGCCACATATTTAGCTTCTGTTGTTGACTGAGCTACGCACTTCTGCAAGGTAGATCTTCAACTAATGCTTCCGCCACCAAGTGTAAACACATATCCAGTTGTAGATCTTCTTTTTTGTGGGTCCTACTTTTTTGTTTTTCTTTAAAAATTAACAAAAACATAAACATATTTGTGTAGAAGATAGTTGTATGAGTTGGAAAGAGTAGATTTATAGGAGTTATGATAGGATTAGTTAGAATTCGTCTACGTACGAAGATCTTCGGATCTTCGGGTCTTCGGCGCAGTCTTTCAAGGACGTACGAAGAGTTGCGTCTTCGACGAAGACATCGGAATCAATTTCAAATCATGCAACGGGCCGGACGATGTTCGCACGCGTCGGGAGTTCGACGAGGCGCGGGAGAAGGCAATGTTAGGGCGTCAAGAGTAAAGGCAGTACGAGGAGACTTCGCGCTGACATTGCGATATCAAGCAAGAACGAGCAAGAGAGAGAGGAATTGCAATCGAGCCAATCCGCGATTAGCGAAACGCAAATTGAAGACATGGTGCCCAAGAAGAGTGAGAAGGTGAGAAAATTGGTTCCCTTGAAGGTGCCTTACGAGGAATTGAGACCCTTCAGACACGAGTTGAGGGAACTGCGGCTTGAATTCCTTTTATGGAATTGGAATTGCGTCTCAGCGAGTATCTGCAAGGAAGTTATGGACAAGAGCGCGACCGAAGGCGAGGAGCTCCGCGGTAATTCCATGTTGTGGACCATCGAGCATTGGACGAAAGTAATGGGACCGTGTGCGGGTAGCGACGGAGACCTTCTATTTGATAAGAATAGCGTATGACTTATGCGTGGCGAGGAATTCTCTTACGGGCCTCTCTTCGAGACTGGAAGACTGGGAACGAATGGATGGAAGATTGTCGATTACAAAGATCCGAAGAGAAGGGCGATCGCGTTAGAGATCATGCACATCTTACGGCCGACGCGCACGACTTATGTGACAGCCTAGCAAGTAGGATTCTTCGAACGCATTCTGAAAGGAAAGCGCGTACATTGGGCAAGGATCTTTTACGATTTTGTCTGGGTGAATGCGTCTGGTCGATGGACGGGATCTATGACCAATCATCTTACCTCCTTTCTGGTGAATTTCTATCGAGGAATGGGATTGCTTACGAGGGAGGAGGAGAAGCGATTTCCGAAAGAGCGGGAAATTTTTTAAAAGTGGAGTCTAGTGAAGGGACCGAAGACGAGAACCGACCTCCCGCAATTCCAACACACACCACCGCTCGAGGACCAGTGCAGGTGGACGTGGTTCAAAGGCAGGAGCAGCTAGAGAGACGAGTGGCAAAGAGAAGGAAGGTCGTGAGTGATGACAAGGAGAAATTGGCCCAAGGATGGAATGAAGGATGGATATAGATGTAAGTGGAGCCAGACAGCATAGAGCTCGCGCAAGACCAAAGAAGAGGGCGAAACGGAGGATGGTGACAGTTGAAGTGTCGGACAGCAGTGTGGAGAAGACGGTGGCACTAATTGTAAACACATCTGAAGTCGTAGCTAGCGAGGTAATGCGACCTGTGGAGATAGGAGTACCTTCGGAGGTGTCAATCGAAGTTCCGGCAGATATACCGGCAGAACCTTTGAAGCAGGGAACGGAATTGGTAAGTCTGATTTCTCTGTCTTCGGAGCGGACACGGTCTGCGCAAGGCGAAGGGACACCACAGATGAAGATGAACGAGGACCCGAAGAAGGAGTTTACTTTGAGCGAGGAGATTCTGGAACAGGTTGTCGCAAGGGTAGGAGGGACGGTGGTAGAAGCCGAGGGCATTACACTGCCGACATCTCCGGTGGAAGAGGTGAGACCCGAAGAAGGAGAGAAGACTTCGGGCGAAGATGAGAAGACATTAGAAATTACATTTCCTGATGTAATAACCCACCAAAGGCTAAAACTGCAATATAGTGGTAGAAAGGTCGAACCCACAGGGACAGAGGCAACACACAAAGTACAAAGTGTCACATTTAACAGACTATTGAAGAGTTTGAATTCTCAGGCGACTGTCACTCCCAGAAATACTGCAAGTGTTCACTCGGAGCTCACTCGGAGGTCGCACAGTGCAGCGTAGTTCACTCAACACACACACACCTGAAACTATAGAAACACAACTCAGAGGTCGGTTAAGACCTCTACTTAAGATTTCAGGGGGAAAGTCTCTCACGAATACACTCAGCGAATCTGCGGGTAGTGACTCCCAACTCCGGCTTTTACAACCCTCCCACTAGTTTCTGCTAGCACATGGAACCTGGAGTGGACTTCCTACTTCGGATCGAAGTCACTCACACGCGGTGAACAACACACTCAACTCACACAACGCGCAGAGAACACAGGTCCGTAATGAGAGACTCAACTGAGAAACGATCCAGTAACACAC